TAAGTCACAGGTCAAAGGTCATTTGGGTCAGGGTCGTGAAATTTTCAGAGAAAGTGTAGAATTGATCAACTCGAGGGTACTGAAAGCTTCGTCGCGATTGGCCGCGTTTGGCGAGAGTTATTCGGGAAAAACCATGGGGGTGCATCCGACCCCCCCCCCTACACATGCGAGGGTTAAGTACAATAGTCAATGTATGATAATAGCCAGTGTTTGAATTTGAATATGCATATTCTTATTGGATAGCTGTTGTATTTACTTACCATGTCTGTTCAGAAGTTTTTATATAGCACACTACAAGGAAAAGTATGTATGCATTGATGGACTTCTTTTTCACTAAGAGGAGCCCTTCACTCAGCCAATTATGTCAAATCTGTAATGATGCAAGTACAGAAGTCAAACACCAGCAACTAATGATAGCTGATGAATAGGCTATACAAGTCTTTGTCCTTTAGCTTAGCACACTCAGAACTGCAGAAATTCTAAAAATAAAAACATAAAATAAGAGAACATATCCACAAGTGCACCTGTCTCTTTTAATGTGACAGTATTGTATGGACAATGGTCTAGGTTGATACATGGTCCATGACAATATTGTGACTGGTTGCATTCAATTTTGAGCTCAGGGTGCAAAAGGCAAATTTACAGATGAGAACAATGCTCAGGTCAGTCGTTCAGGTCAGTCATGACTCATGAGCATGTTCTTGAGTCAGAAAAACCACTGTAATTTTGATTTGTCCCTGCCTACCTCTAGTCATTGTTGCTCCCGAAACACTTCAACTTTATGATTGTCATGAATGTGTGTACACCATCTTCACATCTGCAGATTAACAATGCATTAATAGTGAGCATAAAAATTAGAGTGGCTATCATTAATGGCAAGCTACAAAACAAAATTGCTTATTTTATTATAATATATAAAAAATTATAGACTTTGCTTATTTCTACCATATTAGCATTTCATGATTCCAATGATTGTTACAGCTTACAGAACAAGTTTGTTGAGCCTACAAGTGAAATTATAAGATAAAGAGGTCATCTCATCCACTCAAGGTCACAAAGCCCCATGCCCAATCGAGGATAAGAAGCAATCACTGGAGCATTAATGATTGGAATGCTCCACCCACAGAGGCCGTAATAGCACTTTCACTAAGCGAGTTTAAATCATTGTTGGAAAAGTTATGGGAAAGAGAAGAATGCATCCATCCCTAGAAGCTAATAGCTACATAGGTAGTTTCAACAGCATTATTATATGATCAAACATCATGGACGATCTAGAAGATAGAGAATTTCAATCAAAGAGCGAGCAAGATGGGTGTTGAACACCTTAAAGGAAACAGTCCACTTTCCTGAAATCAGTATTTTGCTATTGATTTATGATTTTTTATGCTCAAAATAATCATGAAATAAAATAAAACCTTTTTGTAAAAACAATTATTTTTCTTTATTTGGTAAAACTTCAGTTTTTTACATTAAAGAAACACAATTTTGATGATCATTTCTCCTTCTCGATGGCCAATTACATCAAAAACAGTTTCAAAACACTTAACTTCGCACCACTTACCGAAATATAATAAAGAAATCACCCCACCTTTGATGCGCTAGCCGCTACGCACACACTGCAGAGACGCAAAATGGCGACATTGTTTTGCCTCTGATGCGCCAGATATGTAATTTAAAAGAATTGGATGCGACTACTAAATACAATAAGAACTATTTTCATCCTAGGGGACACTGGGAAATCGGGGTTTTTGGGTGGGGGAGGGGGGTTTTAGATTCAAACCAAATCTAACCTAACCTAACCTAACCTAACCTAACCTAACCTAACCTAACCTAACCTAACCTAACCTAACCTAACCTAACCTAACCTAACCTAACCTACCACGTTTCCAGGGGTTTGTGCGCTAGGGACGAAAAGGAGTATATCTTAGGTAAGGGTAAATGGAAAAATGTTAGGTTAAAGAGTTCTGGAATAGGCTCCAGGCCGGCCTTCGGCCGGCCTGGAGACAATTCCAGAACTCTTAAACCTAACATTTTTCCATTTACCCTTACCTAAGATATCCCCTATTTGTGGCCAAGGCCACATCATTGGTTCGCGTCGCTAGCAAACACGTTTCTCAATCACCTTCACCCTAAAACCCCGATTTCCCAGTGTCCCCTAGGAGGAAAATAGTCTATTATCGGCATATTGTATTTAGTAGTCGTATCCAATTAATTATTTAAGGTTACATATCTGGCGCATCAGAGGCAAAACAGCGTCGCCATTTTGCGTCCTGGCAGTTGACGTAGCGTGCTGACGATAGGGTGGTTTCTTTATTATATTTCGGTAAATGGTGCGAATCAAAGTGTTTTGAAGCTGTTTTTTATGTAATTGACCAAGGAGAAACAGTGAAACATCATCAAAATTGTGCTACTTCAATGTAAAAAACTGAAGTATCGCCCTTTATTTTAATATAGGGCGAACTATATTCTATGTAAAATAATGTTTGACGCGGAAGCTTATTACGCATTGACCAATCATATTGCGTAGCTCAAACCTACGAATACTGCATTGGCTGTAAGCAGCACGCTGATTGGCTGACGATGACGTGGCTGCATTCCTGTGCAAGGCACGCATTCCTCTACAAGGCACTCTTTTCGGAACGAGAAATGGAATTTCTTCGTCTAGGGTGATCGTTGAGCCGTAAAAGCTCCTGATTTGTGCTAGTCTCAGCTCAAGCTACGAAACTGCTATTCCAGCTCAAAACCCCATGTTAAAAGTGAACTATTTCCTTTAAGCCACTAGCCAGACTGAAAAAAAAACATCCATACAATATGCCGGTCGGCCGTGAGACCCTCTTACGCCGAAATTCGGCGCAAGGGATTTTGCGCTGAAATTTCTGCATGATTTGCGCCCAAAAATTGGGTGCCTATTTGTGCCAAAATTAAACCACTTACATAAACAGCTCATGAGCACATCTACCGATCACGGCCGTCGGCCATATCGACCAGACAGAGCGTTTCGGGGCCTTACGCTTTTAACGCTTAGCGCACTGTAGCGTCTTGCCGTAAAACAACGCCGGAGCCGGAAGTTCCGGGGCTACAAAAAAATCGGCGGAGCGGTGTGTTCCAGGCTGGCGGGAGCCAGCGAGGGCCGGGCAGCGGAGCAGCACGTGCTCTGGCACAACAGCCCCTTCTCGGCACACGGCACTGCGCTGTGGGGCACCGCTTATCTGGGCACTGCTAGCACGCACAGAGTGGAGACAGCCGATTCGGTGCACGTACTGGAGCGAGCGGCCCCAGTGACTCGCCCTCATCTAGTGCACCGAAACAGCTTCCTCACGGTCCTCTCCGGGGATAGGGAGCGGCGACGTGCTCCCGAGGAGTGGCTTGAATAGTGACTCGGATCAGTTGCACCATTGATGCAAGACCGCACCATGAACTGTCCTTGTCAGTGAGCAGGCGCTTGAGGGCAGGGCAGCCACTTATTTCGCCAGGTTGTCTGTGCCCTCATTCCCATTGATAGCGCAGTGGGTAGGAACCCACTGCAGTATTACATAATGATGCTCAGCAATGTTTAACAAGGTCTACCATGCCTATCTCCACGCCAAGGGTTGAGGCCTTATCTTGGCGGCTGCTCCCCCATTGAGTACTAAGGGTGGCTTGCCAGTTTGAGCATGCGACGACCGGGGATGGGACATCTTATCCCAAAATCTCTCCAGTCGCCCACAGGGCGAATCTGCTGCTAGATTGACCAGCATCCCAACTAAATTCGGTGACTGTCTTTCGGCAAATAATTATGCAGCCGCCCTGCTCCAAAAATTCAGCCCCCGCCCATGCGCAGAAATCTGAATTCTGCGTGAGAAATTATGCCGGATAAGCGCTAACAAATTTAACATAATCTTACCACTATGCTGGTTTATGCCAGACAAATTTGGCATAACATGTAATTTTTTTCCAGCCTGGACCTCAAGCAGTTTGTATTCTACAAGGTAAAAAGTAGGTACAAGTTTTACAAATGGGCATTGGCACAGGGCGGTCACTTTATCTCAATTCTCAGGGTATATAGATTATAGAACATCCCGAACATACTGATACTTTATCTGGCTCTCATTAAAGGGACCCTCCCACCTTAACATTAGTTTTGAGTTGAGATAGCCAAGTTTGCGGCCAGGCTCAGAAACCACCATTTATCCTGGTCGCAACCCCCGCAGCTTTATGGTGTTCAAGAAATTTCTTCCCTTTACTTGCAGGGTGGGACCAGCGTGGTCCCTATCTCTTAACCATTACGGGAATCTGATGACGTCATCAGGCTTTCGAACGTCCGTTAAATGTTTGACTAAAACGTTTTGTAGCACGCGGTGGTATATGCTGCGTTGCGCGCAACAAATGCCGCACTTTTAAATAAAGTCGCTAGGAACAGCGGAGATCCCAAAAAGTAGACAAAAGTAAAAGTCTAATATCTTGAAAACCGGTGAATATTTTTCGGTGAAATTTGGTAGATATTCGTTTTCGCTCTTTCTGAACCGAGCGACATCACTTTCATGCCAATTCATAAACTTTTTTGAAGGTGGGAGGGTCCCTTTAAACTGGCCATAAATACCAAAAAATACCCAACCAGATTCCATGGAAAGGAATAAAATCCAAAGAAAACCACCTCACCATCTTCTTCTCAGCAGTGTTGTCAATATTTGGCGCACTTGCTACAAAAACTTTCTTAAAAAATGTTCTATTGAAGTGCTGATGCAGGATCTGTGCCGAAATTTCCATAGCAACTAACAGTAAGTCAAAAGAATAGCTCAGCTATTCAGTTTGAAGGCTTGAAATAATATAAGAAAATTTTGTATTATTATTTTCCCGAAGCGTCTATAGGAAATGATTAGAGTCAAAGTCAAATATGTTGAAGTAAAAGGACACTGACGTCATTTTCTGAGCGTGCCGAAAGCTGCTTTGAAAGAAATAGAACATAATTCTTGACATGCTGCTATGAGCATTGTATTTTTACATTTTGCCAATCATATGTTCGAAGCCCTATTTACCCATATGTTATTCTCATCTCTTTTGGTTACAATATCATTTTGAAAAGTAGGTGCTATTTGTATTACAATTTATTGATATGTTGGAATTGGCACTGCACTTAAGGCATGAAGTAAAATTCATGTTTGCTCTGTTGAATGGAAATATCTGTTTATTGATGTAAATTTACATCTAGGATAAGGATACAACTAATGAAATTTAAAGAGGAAAAGTCAACCATAAATTGTACACCAATGAGGGCAATGAGCAATCTGTAAAGCATCATAATCTTAGTTGGTATGGGGGGATTTGGAAGGTATTTTTTGCAGGATATTGATATGGCCCTTTGTTTGTTTGTTTGTTTGTCATTTTTTTATGATTATGGGCATGGACAATGGACAGAAATAAAGTTGAATTGGTGCAAAAGCATAAACTTATTACGAGGCACCCCTTCAACAAAACAAAACAAAACAGAGCATCACCGAAATAAACACACACACACACACACCAGGTCCCACGCGCAACCCCGCCGCCCAGACAGACCTTCCGACCACTACAGCTGGACCACACGCGCTCCGCCAGCCTGCGGCCTCCCCCCTAACTTTGTACAACGGCCCGTCTGGCCAGACCGGGACGGTGCCGTTCCATGGCAATTGGCATATGCCGTCCCGACCCCGGGGAGAGCTGAAGGATACCTCCCCTGGCCCTGCAGTGTCCAAGACAGGCTGCCAGTTTTTACATACCTGAGGCTGAGGACTCTTGCACCAAAATCATCTGGCACCAATCCTTGAATTATGTTGCACTGTACACCCACTCCAAGACTCTACTGTGACAATTTACCTATAAATTCTACCAAGCACCTGTAGGCCTATGTTATGGGCTAGTGCAGAATAGTTTACCACTGCTAGTTAGGCTAACTCTGAATTTGTTTTTTTTATTTTGCCTAGCTAGATAGTTTGGTGCAATAGGCCTCTGGTCAGCTCAGATCAAGGTGCTCAGATCATACATGCATGGTCAGGGCTGAGATTGAGATCAAGGAGCAAGGAAAGTATGCCTTTTGTTAAGGAAAAATTAGTGATTCTCAGTAATTGTTGATCAATGCAATTCAAGAGACAGACATTGCTGTTTTATATTTTTCAGGTAGCAATATGGCTGCTTCTGGTTTCCCAGCATCTGTAGTTCAGTGGGGTGTTCCAACCCCTCAGGAAGATGGTGAACCTTCACAAGCCAGCTATGTGGAACCAGCTGGATACAGTGCAAGTAATGTTCTCTGTGTTCCCGTGACAGGAGAGGCATCCAGTCCACCCCAGTCAGAAAATCTCTGCCTGCTGGCCTCAGCAGGCACAAACACATCACCTGCTGTACAATGCATCATTTGTGGCCAGTATACGAGTGATCCAGCTCTGAAGTCCTCTCAGCTGGCACCTTTTTCTCAGAGGTCCTCTGTTGAACTAGATGGTGTATCACTAGAAGTGAGTTCAGTTTGCCACAGCTGTGCCAGCCTTTTTCAAAGAGTTGATTACCATTGCATGCTGGCAAGCAGAATCAGGCATGGATTGAAAAAATGTGCTGATGCCAAACACAGTTTTCAGGTGAGTGAATCTTCATTTTCAGTGTTTGATCTTCATTTTCACTTCATTCCTATCTTCATTGGGTGGCATGCTCCTCATCTCTATAAGGAAATTCATTGTTGTTAGCATTTGAAAACATTGATGACACTGCAAAGAGGTGGCCCAATGTCCCAAGATTCACTTTTGATCATAGCCTGACGGCCTGTGGTGATCATGCCGCCAGGTGCCGGGGGACTTTATCCAGCTGCAGTGCAGCCTCTGCCCGGCACAGGTGTCGGACCGGCGCGCCCTGGCAGCCCACCTGAGCTCCCACCTGCAGGGCGGTCGGCTGCCGTGCGCCGCCTGTGGGCGCAGCTTCTCCGGCTGGCAGACGCTGCGGCGGCACGCGCTGGCCGCCCACCAGGGCGCACTGCTCAGCCGCTGCCAGCGCTGCCCGGCCGCCTTCAGCTCGTCCGCCAAGCTTGTAGCGCATAAGCTGGCGCAGCACGGCGTCGCGGAGAGTCTGCGCCGGCACCGGTGTCCCGTCTGCCGGCGCCGGTTCGGCCGCGCGCACCGGTACGCCGCGCACCTGCGCACCCACGGCGCTCCGGCGGCGGCCGAGCTGCGGCGCACGCTGGCGGCACTGGCTGCCGGGCGGACCGCCGAGCGCGCCGCGGAGCCCGCGCCTGTGGCCGGTGGCGGACGGACTCAGGACGGCGGTACGCTGGAGGGTCGCCGGCCGGCTGAGCACAGGGTGGAGAGCGAGGAGGAGTGGCAGAGGTCGGACGAGGACGGACTGATCTCTGGTGAGGATCGGTCTCCAGACGAACCGCCTGTATCGGACGGCGACGCGGGAGCTCCAGGGGATGGTTGTTCGGACTCACCCGCACAGACAGACGTACGAGACTCAGCAGCGCCCAGTCAGATGTCTGCCACTGCTGGCGACGCGGTCGGGTTCTCCTGTGACCAGTGTGACAAAGTGTTCAAGCGTAAACAGTCACTGGAGCGGCACGTCAGTGCCATGCACAAACCGTCGGAGAACCTGAGGTGTGACGAGTGTGGCAAGTCGTTTAGCATCAGGTTCTACTGGCAAAAGCACATGAACCGCCACCGCGCCAAGCGGGAGCAGTGTGTCAAGTGTGGCCGTCAGTTCGTGAACGGCCGGGCGCTGAAGAGGCACAAGTGCGTGGCGGAGGAGCTGGCCGCCGAGCTGGAGGCGTCGGAGCCGGCTCCGCTGACTCGGACGGAGCCGGCTCCGCTGACTCGGACGGAGCCGGCTCCGCTGACTCGGACGGAGCCGGCTCCACAGTCACAGTCAGAGCCGGCTCCACAGCCACAGCTGCCCCAGCAGCCACAGTTGGAGTCGGCGACAGCGACCGGCGCCGGCGGTCCGTGTCCGGTCTGCCAGTGCCGGCTGGGGACCGGTGAGGGCTCACAGGGCGGCCTGGACCCGGCGGACGGCGGGCGGCCAGCAGCCCCCTGCACCTGCGGCCCTTCACAGCCAGCGGCCGCTGCAGAGGCGGCGGTCCCCTCCACCCCGGGCACCCAGTACACGTGCGAGACCTGTGGCGAGTCGTTCGCCACGCTGGCGCGACTCAGCGTCCATAACCGGTCTCATCACGAGCCGCGTGCGCACATCTGCCGCACCTGCGGAGCCGTGTTCGCGGCCGCCTCCGAGCTGCGCAAGCACAGCTTGCAGCACCGAGAGCGCAGCTACCAGTGCTCCGTCTGCGGCAAGTGCTTCCGCTGGAAGAACAACCTGGACATCCACGCGCGTATCCACGCCGACGAGCGGCCCTACCAGTGCGACATCTGCGGCCACGCCACGCGCTGCTCGGCCAACCTGCGCCTCCACAAGCAGCGCGTGCACTCGGCACTGCGGCCACACGTGTGCCCGCTCTGCCAGAAGGGCTTCAAGGAGCGCTACAGCATGACGATCCACATGCGCAGTCACACAGGCGACCGGCCCTACGTCTGCGAGTTCTGTGGCGATGGGTTCGTCACCAAGGGGAAACTCAACAGCCACATGAGCAAACACTCTGAGCGGCGGCCCCACGAGTGTCCGCTCTGCCTGAAGGCCTTCAAGACGGCGGCTATCCTGGGCAAACACTGTCGCAAAGTGCACGGCATGGCTGTGGAGGAGGCGGCAGCGCGTGCCGGTCGTCCGCCCCCGCCCCCGCCCCCGCCGGAGGCTGCACCGCTCAATCACCAACTAGGGACGCACCAATACCTGACTGGTTAGGTCGCTTAACAATGATGTGTACCACTGTTCAACTATCTGTAGGCCCTTTCGAATCACTGCACCATGTGCTCCATTATGAGAAACGAAGGGATATGTTTGTAGGATGCTATTGTGCTTCCAGTAGACCAGTTTTATTGGTATCGATCATCAGGATGCTGGGCTGCAGTGGCGTATCCAAGGGGGGACCCTGGGGGTCCTAGGGTCCCCCCTGGAGCAAAAAAAAATTTTTTTTTTTACTCGAAAAAAATTGAAAACACTTTGAGGGCCCTTTTCACCACTTACATTTTTTTTTACATAATGAAAAGTATCAATTACATTTCTAGGGACCCTTTTAGGACTATCAGAGGACCCCTTTAGGCCAACGAGGGACCTTGTAGAGTAAATTAAGGGCCCTTTACAACGAACAGGACCTTCTCAGGCACACAGAGGGCCCTCTCAGACACACAGAGGGCCCTCTCAGGCACTCAGAGGGCCCTCTCAGGCACTCAGAGGGCCCTCTCAGACACACAGAGGGCCCTCTCAGGCACTCAGAGGGCCCTCTCAGGCACTCAGAGGGCCCTCTCAGGCACTCAGAGGGCCCTCTCAGGCACTCAGAGGGCCCTCTCAAGCACTCAGAGGGCCCTCTCAGGCCCGAGGGCCCTCTCAGACATCTTGAAGAGGTCGAAAAGAGCCCTCTGAGCTCAAAGAGGGCCCTCTGAGATCAAAAAGGGCCCTCGGAGGCAACAGAGGGCCCTACAATGCAACAATAGAGCCCCCTGTGGTCACCAAAGGGCCCTCTGAGGCGAATAGGGGTCCTTTTAGGCAAACAGAGGGCCCTTTGAGGCAAACAGAGGGCCCTCTAAAGTGGCGAATAAAGGGACCCTCTGAGACGAAAGGGGGCCAGAGCCCAGAGAGCCCTCTCAGGCACTCAGAGGGCCCTCTCAGACACTCAGAGGGCCCTCTCAGACACTCAGAGGGCCCTCCCAAGCACTCAGAGGGCCCTCTCAGGCACTCAGAGGGCCCTCTCAGGCACTCAGAGGGCCCTCTCAGGCACTCAGAGGGTCCTCTCAAGCACTCAGAGGGCCCTCTCAGACATCTCGAATAGGTCGAAAAGAGCCCTCTGAGGTCAAAGAGGGTCCTCTGAGATAAAAAGGGCCCTCGGAGGCAACAGAGGGCCCTCCAATGCAACAATAGAGCCCCCTGTGGTTACCAAAGGGCCCTCTGAGGCGAATACGGGGTCCTTTTAGGCAAACGGAGGGCCCTTTGAGGCAAACAGAGGGCCCTCTAAAGGGGCGAATAAAGGGACCCTCTGAGACGAACGGGGGCCATAGCCCAGAGGGCCCTCTCAGGCACTCAGAGGGCCCTTTCAGGCACTCAGAGGGCCCTCTAAGGCACTCAGAGGGCCCTCTCAGGTACACAGAGGGCCCTATCAGGCACACAGAGGGCCCTCTCAGGCTCACAGAGGGCCCTCTCAGGCACACATAGGGCCCCCTCAGACACACAGAGGGCCCTCTCAGGTACACATATGGTCCTCTGAGACACACAGAGGGCCCTCTCAGGTACACAGAGGGGCCTCTCAGGCTCACAGAGGGCCCTCTCAGGCACACATAGGGCCCCCTCAGGCACACAGAGGGCCCTTCAGGCAAACAGAGGGCCCCCTGAGGCAAACAGAGGGCCCTCTCAGGTACACAGAGGGCCCTTTCAGGCACACAGAGGGCCCTCTAAAACACACGGAGGGCCCTCTCAGGTACACAGAGGGCCCTTTCAGGCACATAGAGGGCCCTCTCAAACACACAGAGGGCCCTCTCAGGCACACAGGAGGCCCTCTCAGGCACACAAGGCCCTCTGAGACACACAAAGGGCCCTCTCAGACACACAGAGGGCCCTCTCAGGTACACATATGGTCCTCTGAGACACACAGAGGGCCCTCTCAGCTACACAGAGGACCCTCTCAGGTACACATAGGGCCCCCTCAGGCACACAGAGGGCCCTCTCAGGCAAACTACACAGAGGGCCCTTTCAGGCACACAGAGGGCCCTCTCAAACACACAGAGGGCCCTCTCAGGTACTCAGGGGGCCCTCCCAGGCACACAAAAGGTCCGCTAAGACCAGCAGAGGGCCTGTTAAGACGAACAGAAGGGCCTCTGAGGTACGAGGGTCAATTTCAGGCCACAAGGTATCCTATGAGGCCACCAGACGGCCCTCTTAGATTAAAGATGGTCCCTGGAGGTCACCAGAGGGCCCTCTGAGGTGAACAAAGGGCCCTCACAGCCACCTCAAAGAGGGCCCTCTGAGATCGAAGATATCAAAGAGATCAAAGAGGGCCCTCTAAGGCGAATGGAGGGCCTTCAAAGGCCACAAAGTGCCCTCTCAGGCCACTGGAGGGCCTTCTGAGGTGATATGATGCTATGTCAGACCACCATGAGCCCTATGAGGTCATCAGGCCCTCTGAGATCAAAGAGGGTCCTTGGAAGTCATCGGAGGACCCCTTGAGGCCCCTTGAGGCGAACAAAGGCCAGAGGGCCCCCCTTAGACACCACAAAGAAGTAAAAAAGATCCCTCTGAGTTCAAAGACAGCTCTCTGAGATGTAATAAGGCCATTTGAGGCCTCTGAGGGCCCTCTGATGCCACAGAGAGGCGCCCGCTGATACCAAAATAGGGTCCTCTGAAGTCTGAAGCCACCAGAGGGCCCTCTGAGGCGAATAGCGGGTCCTCACATCCACTTCAAAGAGGGCCCTCTGAAAATCAACTGGCCCTCGGAGTCAGTGTCCCAAAATTGTATTTTGGCTTGGGTGTCAGAGGGGAAAATAGGTCACCCAAAAGGGGGATAAGAGTGGACAATTGTCAGTCACAGGGCAGCCGGAGCCCTCTGAGAAGGTCACTTGAGCCTTACAACAGAGGGCCCTCTGAGGTGATATGAAGGCTATGTCAGGCCACTATGGGCTCTATGAGGTCAGCAGGCACTCTGAGGAAAAGACTGGCCCTCTGAGGGGAACAGAGGGCCCTTTAGAACAATCAGAGGACTTTTTAGGCCAACTAGGGGCCTTAAGAGGTCAACAAAGGGCCCTTTGGGACACAAACAGGGCCTCTCAGGCCACCAGGGGCCTCATGTATTAGACAAACATACGGCCATCTGAAGTAAAAGAGGACCTTTTGAGGTAAACAAGGGCCCCTGGAGAGAAAACAAAGGGCCCTTTCAGGTACCTAGAAGGTCCATGGAGGCCACTAGAGTGCCCTTTGAGGCCAGTGATGGTCTGCAGAGGCCCTCAGAGGGTCCCTCTGAGGGTAACAGAGGGTCCTTAAGACGACCAGAGGCCCCCCTTGAAAATGCAGGTGTCACAAGGTCCGGTTTGCATCAAAGGTCAGGTAGCTATGCCCAGTTTTGGCTCTCTGTTGCCGACGTGTCCCGAGCTGTCGCAAAAAAAAAACGATGTGGTGGCACCCACCCTCCCACTCGGCCGGCCAGGGTCCTTCTAACCAGAGATGCGGAGCCGTGGAAATTTCAGACGTCTCCGGCTCCAGCTCTGGAGAAAAAATCGGCTTCGGCTCCGGCTCTGGCTCCGGCTTCGACTCCAATACTCAGTACATCCTCTATACAATTAAATACGGGTGGAAGAGAAAAGATGAAGGATTGGTTCACGTTGCTTCTGTATTTGCATAACAAGGCTATTTTTAATACCACATGTTTTACTGCCTTGTACTGTCAAACCGAACTATGTAGGTCAATAATTTTTTCCTCTTCAAAAAAGCAGCCGGAGTCGCCGCCTTTTGGACGGCTCCGGCTCCGGTTCCGGCTCCGGGCAAAATATGCCGGCTCCGGCGGCTCCGGCTCCAGCTCCGGCTCCACACCCCTGCTTCTAACTCGGCTTCTGAGCCACGTACCAGCACGCCAAAGGCAGCGTTCGAAAGGACGCAAACAATAATGACGAAATTACTCTGGTCATTTTTAGATCAGGTCAAAGGTCAGTTCACATAGGTCATCCAAGGCTAAATTTTGCCAATTTTCTGGTCCAATTTCGACAATTTTCAACAAACCACCGCATCACTCGGAAATGAATGCCGTGCCGGGGAAAAGCGTAGTTAATAGCTCTTTTAACCCGCGCCGGGCCGGTGCTCTGAGATTCCGCGCCGGGCCGGAAGGGGGGTGTGTCTGAACACCCCCTTCTAACTCGGCTCCTGGGCCACGTAGCGACACGCAAAAAGCGGCAATCGAAAGAACGTCCAAAATAAGGACGAAAACACTAAGCTCATTTTTTGGGTCAGGTCAAAGGTCAGGTCACCAGGGGTCACCAAAGGTAAAATGTTGACTATTTCAACATTTTGGAAACTGCCAACGACTATCTCGGGAACCGATAGAGCTACAGCGCCAGAGAAAAGGGCATTCAATAGCCCTTTTACAGACCTTTCTGAGTAATGTTTTCAGATTTGACCTCAGGTCAACGGTTTAGCCTCCAGAGGGCAAAAACTCCAAAAATAGCCGTTTTTACGAAAAGCGTTTTTTTCGACAATAACTTTTGACTCAAAAGAGTCATGACATTAATTTTGCCAGCATCGTGTTCCTCTCGTCGAGACGCGTCGAATGAACTATAATTGGACCTTGAAAGGTCAACTTGAAAATTTGACCTCAGGTCAAGGTCATGACCTGACCGGAAAAGGTCATGTTACATATCATTCGATCTGCAACGTCGATTCGAACACATCTAAGGCGTTTTCAGCGCTCTAGCACGCCTCTATCAGAAGTTATTGGCGAAAAACTGTTAGATTCTGTTCGTGACCTGAGATGACCTCGGGGACATAACGAGGGGTCACAGTTGCCATTTTCCGATTCAGTGTGCCAATTTTACTTACATCTCGATGTTAGAGAGTGTCTAGAATAGCGTTCGTGCAAAACAGACGCTTTTCAATTTTCTCCCATTGACTGATAGGTAATGGAGAGGCCGCGATACTGACCTGACCTTAGGTCACCGATATCGAAATTCCGAGATAAACATTTTATAGATTATGTTGCTCTTATCAATCGCTGAAAGTTTCAAGGCAATCGATCAATCGGTGTAGCTATGACGAGCATTTTTATTTTTTTCTGAGGTGAGGTCACTTGGCGTGACCTGGTGACCTGACCTAAGGCGACCTGGGTCTGAAATTTTCACAACATGTGCGGAAAATATGCACAAACAGGTGTGGAGCGCCGCCGTTTTTGAGATATCTGCGAAAAACCGCAGGGGGTGTTCAAACACCCCCCCCCCCCGGCCCGGCGCGGGTTAACACCCGTTTCGCCGTTTCCATCCTCAGGACATTCAAATCCTTCTCCTCCATGCCGCAACCCATGATCCAGGCTGGACCTGGACGGGCAACTTTA